GTGGTGATTCCGTTGTTTCGATTCCTCGTGTTCCTTGAGAACCTTCTTAAGTAATCTCCCGGACATCTTCTACCTCCGGCGGCTTCGTCGTCTCGAAATCCGACGATGTCGATTTAAGACGGCGGAGAAAGGCGGCGATACCGATTAGATGATTATCCTTCGCTTTGTCTTTCTCCACACTTTTCTTAACCTTTACGGTGAAAGGCTATATTTCCGGTTTATAATTAACCGGTGCATTGAAACTGACCGGTCAAATTGTGAATTCGAACCGAGATGCGTGAACTTCCGATAAACGACGTCGGTTTCTAACCATTTTTTCCCCATCAACCGACGTCGTTTTATTCCTGGTTTAAGGTGTAAAAGATGTAGTACTTAAGTTTTTTTTTTTTTTGATAAATCGCGAGAGTTTCGAACATTTGGTTTATAATCTCTTCGATATCTGGAAACAGTATTTGAATATTCCGATTTAAAGAATAATTTTCTGTACGAAAATGTATACTAAATTAGATTAAAGTTTAAATTTGGACCATATAAAGTTGTAAATTTACGGCAAAAGAACAAAAAAAAAAGTTGTGAATTTTTTTATCAGGAGAATCTGACTAAATTAGAATCCAATGCTTTCGGCTAAGCTAATAATTAGAGTCACAACGAGCACCGCTAATTATTTCTTATTGATATCTTCACTTTTACTTAAAAGAGTAATCTAATCAGTAATCACGAATTCACTCGTAATGATTATGATGCTCTCTCTCCATGCTCTAAATTTTCATCATTGTTTTTTCCATATTTGTACTTAACCACTTACATTTATAATTTTGGATTTTGTATCAATTAATGTTTACACGGAGTATTACTTTTGTTTTTAGTTGGTAGTCACAAATTTAAAACCATCATCATTTTTATTTTTTTGTTGTCGTTAAAACCATCATTATTACGATAAAAATCATAGAATCGTTTATTTTCATCACTTATCTTTTTCGGCTCTTTTACAAAAAGAAAAACACTTTTTCTACAGTTTATATTTTAATTTTCAACAAAAAGTATAAATGAACAGAAGACTGTAATCATTGCAGTGATCAAAGTGGGCCCATACACGCCACAAAGAAACCCAAACCCAAACCCAAAAACCCAAAAAAGAGATTCTCAGATTATTATATAAATCCTTTCTCTTCCTTCAACATTAACGACTTCTCTCCTCTACGAGCAAAAAATGAATCAGAATCTAAGAAACGCCATTGTTGCATTCCTTGCTCCACTTCCTTCTATCGTCTTCTACCTCTCATTTCTCCTTAATTACTCTTCAATTTCAACTTCCGAGCTTTCCTACATTCATTCATGGTGTTTGAATCATCCGCTTCTGTTGGCAAATCTTCTCTTCTTCTTTAACGTCAATGTCCTCTTCTGGGTCATCGGTTTAATCCAATCTAGCCACTGGGTACGAATCCATAATCTCCAAAAATGTTAAATTTTCGAAATTTGATCTCTTTATGAAATGTCAGATTTTTAATTTTTGTTCTGTGTGTTGTTGTTGCAGATGATCGATGTGTACTGGACTGTGATACCTGTAATGCTGGTTCATTACTTCGCGTCTCATCCATTAGGACAGTACAATAAGTGGAGATCCATGGTTGTCGTGATTCTGACATGGATTTGGAGTATTAGGTTGACTCATAACTATTTCCGGCGGGAAAATTGGGAATGGGGTGCTAGAGAAGACTGGAGATTCAACGATTTACGGAAACAGTACGGTAAACACTGGTGGTGGCTCTCCTTCTTCTCCGTTTACGTTTCACAGCAGGTAAAATTTACCCTCCAACTGTTCGATGAATTGCGTCAATGAACTTGTTTTTCTTGGGTAATTTGGTGCTTTTGGTGATTAACTGACTAGAGAAAGATCTCGATGATGTATATGACTCTGTCTTTATATGAAAGATGATTTGGAGAAAAATTAGATTCCTTTTTGGTTAAAAGCTTGAACTTATTATGTCAAGTTCACAATTTGCAGTTTCTATCTCTGATTTATGTTTCTCATTTCTATTTTGTTTGTCAATTTTTCCAAAATTTGTTCAGATATTTCTCATTGGGATATGTCTACCTTTATACGTAATTCATTCCGTTGATGCGCCACTAAACATCTGGGACTTCATTTCCTCGGCTATCTGTTTGACGGGGATTGTGATGGCATACTACGCAGACACTCAACTTCACGAGTTTGTAACCGGAAACCAAAAACTCAAGGAGCAAGGAAAGCCTAAAATCCCGAACCTCGACACGGGTTTGTGGCATTACTCTAGACATCCTAATTACTTGGGAGAGCAATTGTGGTGGTGGGGATTGGTCATATTTGCTTGGAACCTTGGTCAAGGATGGACTTTGATAGGTGCATTGGTCAATACTCTCTGTTTGGTCTATGTAACAATCCTTGTCGAGCGTCGGATGCTGAAACAAGAGTACAGAGCTGAAGCTTATAGAGCGTATCAGAAGACAACATCGGTGTGGATTCCATGGTTCAAATCCCATGCTGCTAAAGACAAGAACATTTGAATAAGCTGTGATTAGTTTGTTTTCATTAGGCTTTCTAGAGATCCTTTAATTGTGTATTATTGGCATTGTTTGGTGTGTTTTTTTTTTTTCCTGTCATGATGTTTCCTTGGGATGTTTCTGTTTGGTCTGTGTAAATTCGCATTAAGATGAGTTTTCATTTTTCATTTGAGCATTTTCACTTAAGTTTATTTGTGTAGCCGGAAAAATAAAAACGGTTTTAAATATATTGTTATGAATTTTGTTTGTGTCAAAGAATCATAAATATGTTATAGTGATATACTCTCGTTTGATATATTTTCATCAAAAACAAACTTAAAAGCATATGCGAAATCGGTTAGATAATGATAAGTTTAAACAGAATATACCATTAGAATATAATACAGTTGATGTTATCAAATCTTCATAGAAAATCAAATCAATGTACTATAAAAACAGAGTCGAATCCGAGAAATCAAAAAAAAATTATTCGCTTTCTCATTTCAAGCTTTATAGTCACAAACCTAAAAAACAATGGAGGAAACTCGGAGAACACTAGGTTTATTCTCTGTTTTATGTGTTTCTTTGATCTGTATAAATCTCTCATTTTCTCCGGTTTATGCCTTCTACGGTAGAAGGCAACTCCGGTTTAATCCTGATGGCCGGTTTAAGATACTGCAAGTATCGGATATGCACTACGGTAATGGCAAAGAGTCTCAATGCGCAGACGTTTCGCCAGCAGAACTGTCTTACTGTTCCGATCTCAACACCACCGCCTTTTTACAACGGACTATCGCCTCCGAAAAACCCGATCTCATCGTCTTCTCCGGTACAAGTTCTCCTAATAAAACTTTATATTATGCATGAGACTTTATTTTTGTTTCATAAATAGTGTCGTTACTATTGGACCTATTTGGGCCAAGTTTGTATCGAGTCAATACTAGATCAATATTGTAGCCTCTATCTAAATGTAATATACATTTGAACTTAATACATAAGAAACCTCTTTATAACTTCACAAGGTTCTTGACAGTTACATAGTTACTTATAATAAAACGGTTTTTTAATGTAGGAGACAATGTATATGGAATATGCGAGACAAAGGACGCGGCAAAGACTATGAATATGGCATTTGCTCCTGCGATCGAATCGGGGATTCCATGGGTGGCCATTTTGGGGAATCACGACCAAGAATCCGACATGACTAGAGAAACATTGATGAAATACATTGTGACATTGCCCAACACGTTGTCTCAAGTAAACCCTCTTGATGCTTGGAGATACCAAATCGATGGTTTTGGTAATTACAATCTACAAATCGAGGGTCCTTTTGGGTCTCCTCTCTTCCTCAAGTCAGTTCTCAATCTCTATCTACTCGATGGTGGAGATTACACCAAACTCGATGGGTTTGTTTACAACTATGATTGGGTTAAAACCTCTCAACAGAATTGGTATGAACACACTTCTAAATGGCTCGAGGTAAACAAAAAACAAATTCAAATGTTTTATTTATCCAATGCTCTTACTCTATTAATGTGTTAAATAGGTAAAAGTGACTTCATTTGTATCAGTTTGAATACAAGAGGTGGCCATTTCCACAAAACAGTACCGCAGCGGGATTGGTTTACCTTCATATTCCGGTACCGGAATTTTCACTCTTCAACAAATCAACGGAAATGACCGGAGTGAGACAAGAAAAGACATGTTCTCCACCTATAAACTCTGGTTTCTTCACCAAACTAGTCGAAAGAGGTGAAGTCAAAGGCGTTTTCAGTGGTCACGACCACATCAACGACTTCTGCGGCGAGCTCCACGGAATCAACCTTTGTTACGCAGGCGGTGCCGGGTATTTCAAAACTCACTCAACTTAAACCACAAGGAATTTATTTACTTTAAACCCTAAACTTGATTACTTGTAACACACGTTAGGTATCATGGGTATGGAAAAGTTGGATGGGCAAGAAGAGCAAGAATAGTCGAAGCTCAACTTGAGAAGACTATATATGGACGTTGGGGAGCTGTTGATACGATTAAAACTTGGAAACGACTCGATGATGAGAATCATTCTTTGATTGATACTCAACTTCTTTGGTCCAAGAACACAAGTAAGTATTTAAGTACCAATTTAAATCATTTAGTTAAGTTTAGGCAAACAAAAATTCATTTGAATGTTTTGGAGATATGTTTTTCTGATCTTAAT